GTCTTCTTTGGTCCTGGAACCAGGCAGGAGGTCTATAGTCACTGAGGACCGCTGGGTGAGTCTTCTTTGGTCCTGGAACCAGGCAGGAGGTCTACAGTCACTGAGGACCGCTGGCTGAGTCTTCTTTGGTCCTGGAACCAGGCAGGAGGTCTTCCACATCCCTGGAACTGTCTCCAGGGTCAGACTAAGGGGGAAGAGGTCTGTAGAATCCCACAGAGCTGCTCTGCTCAGCCGTGTGTTTTCTTGCTTAATTGGTTTTATTTCCATTTAGTGTTTTCTGGTGGTATCTGAGTTCTCATGTATTCCTTGTTGACCCTCTGCCGCCCTCTAGTGTCAGTCTCCTTCCCCTTCGCTCCTCTCTACATTCTTCTGTACACACCTGCTCCCAATCAGTCTTTGTTGTGTTTGCCATTTATACTCCGCTTCAGTTACTGTTTGCTTGTTCCTCATCGTTTCTTCGCTCTTCATGTGTCTCCTGTTTTCTTTTTTTTCTGTATTTTGTTTTGGACTTTGCTTCTGTTTCCTTTAGATCAACATTAAATCTACAATAAACCACCTCAGCTTCCGTCTCTGCATTTGGGTCGTATAAAAACCTCCACTCAACCTGAATAATCCAGTTCTTTCCTGCCATAGAGTAGAATCACAGAATCACAAAACATTAAAATAAACAGCAAAGTTAAAACATCAGAACAGTTTTTCTATACAGAAATGGTCGACCTAATATAATTGTGCTACGTTCCTCCTGCAGCATAGAGCCCTTTGCTCTGCATATATTGCTTCCCTCTCTGTCCCCCGACCTTCTTTCTTCTGTTTGTTTCTCGTTTCTGCATCAAAATAACCTTTCAAGGAAATTCTACTAAAGTTTTATGTATGAAGCCCAGGATTGTAATGACAGCCGTAACGCTCTGCGTGTCTCTTCTGTTCGGAAATCAGAACTATTCTGAGATCTTTGCTGCAAAAAGGGGCAACTTTAACAACAATGTTGAGTCAAAACTCAGTGGTGCAAGAAGAAAAACAGGAAGTTCAGGTAAAGTAGAGTCCTGCTGTTGTAATTTAGAGATCAGTTGATGAGAACCCATTACGTGTTTGAATCAGAAAGAAATGTGACGTAACAACATGAACCAATGATGCGGAGCTCAGTACCTGTGCAGACTCTGTGCTGCTTTGGGCTGTAATAGAGATGTATGGCTTGGAGGCCGTGGAGCAGGTGGAGGTCCGCGGCGGCACTGGTGGGGGGGTTTTCTTATAGGTAGTGATGCAAGATGAAACTACAAAAAGCAGAAGGAAGAGG